TTTCGGGCGTCCGTCCGTCAGCGAGCGCCGCAGGCGCGAGCCTGCTAGGGGGAGTCCGGGGCATGCCCCCCCTGGAATTTTGAATTTTTAACCTCTCTGAAACGCTATTTCCAGCATTTTGAGACCTAAATTTTGGTTGTGGATTGGACCATTTTGAAATCAGCCTACGCTCTTATGATCTCATGGATTACGATTTACGTCGCATAAAAGTAACTAATTACGCTTTACGGAGAATAAAAACGACCAATTACGCGTTACGGCTAATGTACCGATTACGAATTACGATGATTTTGGACGGCCGCCTACGGATTACGAAGGCTAAAAAGGCCTGATTACGCCTTACGAAAAAGGGCTTGCAGGCCCTCAGGTAGGTAGGTATAGCAGTTATCGTCCTGGGGACGACATCAGGTAGGGCAATGTACAACATGTACAACTTTTGTTTCAAACTTCACATTCTGTGTTTAGGAAACATTGGATCAATTTTCGATGTTTAACATCATCGACCTGTAAAAGACTTTTGCTTATTCGGCGTCCTAGTACTGAACTAGAGTTCCATGATCTCATACCTTCGCCAAAGATGTTAATCTTTATGAAGCACAAATCATAGATTATTCCCCCTGATTATGCAAATAGGATCCTCATTTCGGTTGATCATATTCTCCACCAAAAGATAGTCTTATCTTAACAAAGAATGTCATTCTGGCATTTCCTCATAAATTATGCAAATGAGGTCATTATTTGAATGAGTTATGTTTAATAATTTTCACTTCACTTTCAAATGTGTTGTCGGTCCTTCTGATGTTTTCATATTTTTACTCAAGATGTTTGTTAATTTTGTCTGACAAGGTTGACGGATTCGTTAAAAATTCTATAACGCTTCGCAAACTTCCGGTAATTGACGGAAAACTGGTGCTGGCTAGAGCGAAGGGGCCAAGCGCAGAAGCGCGAGTCGAGCGCCAAAGGCGCGAGCAATGAAGGGGGGTCCGGGGCATTCTCCCCCGGGAAATTTTGTATTTTTGAACCTTCAATGACGCATTTTCCTGCACTTTGAAAGACAAAATTAGGCGTAACGAAGAATTATTCATTAACGCTTAACGCTGAATTTAGGATGACAAATAACGTTTTACGTTGAATTAAAACGACCAATAACGCTTCACGATGAATATACTGGTAACGCTTAACGTTGAATTAGAGCAGGCCGGCAACGATTAACGGTAATTTAAAATAGCGCATAACGGTTAACGAAAAAGGGCATGCAGGCCCTCATTACAGCACATCAGCTCTGGTCTCTCAGCCACTGACGAAAACTAGTGGATACTAGCTGAAACGTCTGACAATTTCCAAAATCATATCCAGTTGCTTGAGTAACTGCTTTTTGGCGTTTATACAGCCAAGGAATTTAAAGATTTGGTTTCTATCAACTATTTCTTTCACCTTTCAGTCTCCCTTGCCTCTCCTTCCTGTAGTGTCACCTGTGCCTTGCCCACTGCTGCCTGGAGTTGTCCCTCCTCCCTCAGTAGTTCCAGCAGTGTGTCAGTGGGCAGTTCCAGTAACATACCCGTCACTTTGTTGGACTGGGTGGGACACAGTCTCCGCACCTTCTCAAGTAACTGTTCTCCGATCTCTTCTTTGCTCATCATCATCAGCCTCGATCTCTGTTCCTTGTTTTAAATTTCAAACATTCTGAAATTTTGATGGCAAAACATGTGCTGTTATCTTTTTGGAATGAACAAAAGGAATATTAGTTAGCTGAATAGCTCCATGACATTACAGTAGCAACATAAAAATCCCACATATCTAATGTTGGAGAGGGCAATGACATTCTGTATAATGTCCTTGGACAGGGCAAAACCACATAAAGTGATAAACCCACAGCCTGATCACATGTGATCACAGACCCCCTGAAGTTGACACTGAAAGATGCAGCATCATACTATCATAGTACTTTCATACTATTCCTTTTCAATTATAATCATTATTGTGACATGCATTTAACTCATTAGTATGATCAGTGAAACTCATGTTACCATATCGAATCGTAAAATCTTAAGAAAATTGTTATATTGGCGCCACGTCAGCTACAGAATCTCATTCAGGTGTATTTACCTTCGATGACCTCAGTTTAACCTTTAACCTCCAACCCTGCCTCATTACGCAATTTCCTGCCCCGAAAATATAGTTCTTTGGGTAAAATAAAGAAAGGATTCGTTTCACTGCTTTTCACTTCAGCTACATACATAATTTTTTGTCATCTTAAAAACATTGGTTTTGACATTTTCAACTCTACAAATTTGCATAAAAGATTAATCTTAGCGTTCGCGGAATGATATAAGTCACCGTCTGTGATAAGGCGCCTCCCGTCGTCCTCTTTCATTTTCCGACGAGGTAGGGTTGGATAGAAATTTTTAACCACTTTATATTTTAGTCGTATACGTCTTTATACTGTTAAATTGTCAATATATTAACGTATAGGTAGAAGCCTTATGGTGTTAAGAATGTACAGTTTGTGATCTTTGGTTTGACCAGAAAGGTTTTTCGCCTGATTTGGCGAAATTGTCGCGATGCATGTGGACCAGATTTCGTGAAGTGGGAGGGGGGCTGCCATGTGGAAGCGAAGGCCGGTTTTGATCGAAAGAATTTAGATGTGCAAATTTGTACGTTTGAAAGAAGGAGCGTTGTCCTGTCAGTTGACGCAAATGTGTCACGATGAGGATGTTTATATTCTACACTCCTAATTGCTTATTGTGAGTGATATGTCATCCATAGATAAGAGTTTAAGACATCCATAAATATGCCACATTCTGTGCACTGCTGATGCACATATTTTATCCTATAAGAAAGCTTAACTACGAGTACGAGTCTACGACAGTATCAAAATTGAACAAAACTGCTCATTCACTTTGTTCAAAAGTCAAATTGATGCAATAAAAACTTTGAAGAATGCTTGAGTATGTTGCATGTAATTCTGGAAACCCTGGAAAATCTGCTGCAAAATCAATTTGAGAGTGGCAAGAAAAGTATTTGACGTTGAACTTATTATATGAACAGACAGAAAGCTGCAACCATGTCGGCAGATCTGCAGTGGATGATCATCAGGAACAACTCCTCCTTCCTGCTGAAGAGGAACAAGCAGAGTTTCACCAGGGTAAGTCATTGTACAACTGGTGCTGTGGCCAAGTGGGTAGAGTGTTTGCCTTGCCTTCGGTAGGTTGTGAGTTCGATTCCGGATCCCGGCCGAGTCATAACAAAAACCTTAAAAAGGGTACCAACTGCTTTCTCTGCTTAGTACTCAGCATGTCATTCAGTAATGTTGCTGCTCATTCAGCTGGCTGAAAGTGAATTGTCTCTACCAGACTGACTACTAGTATGCTAGCCAAAAAGGATAGTAATTTGCCATTGTGGGTTTGGCTACCAAAGGGGTGACATTCTGTTTAACTTATAATGCTTGTAAGGATGAGTGAAAGTGACACTTTATCTACTGTTACAGGAGCCAAACAACCTGAAGGCTAAGAACTCCTACCGGTACAATGGACTGGTCCACAAGAAGGTGAGAAACTCAGTCACTGCAGACTTCCACTAGTCTACGTGCTATTCTTGAAATGTTAAAAAAATTATGTATGATGCAAGCAAAAGCCCTATTCAAGTTACTAAGTTAGTTCTTCTGTATCGAGTCTTAGTGTTACCTTTTTTTTTATACTAGTACTTGGCTGTCCGGATTGATCATTTTTAAGTAATAGAAGACATTTAGGTGGCGTGTAAGGTAATGTCTGTACATTTCTATTTCAGACCGTTGGTGTGGAGGCTGCTCCAGATGGCAAGGGTGTTGTGTTGGTGACTCGTAAGCAGAGGGGTAAGTGTCTTCTCAGGACCTGTGACGTAACATTGTTGATGCATTTATATAAGATAGACCAATCCTGGACCACAGGAGCATACAAGTACTGAAGTCTAGTGGCAGCAACTTTCCTTGACAACTCCTCTGAGTCACAAGTTCAGGATTTGTATGTCTGTCTAACCCATGCCATCAGTGCTTTACATACCAAAGGTAGAAGAGATATTCTATGGCATTGTTACCATGATGCCACCTCTCATAAATATAATTATAAAGGAACCTAATACTGGTAGTTACTGAGCTATTGCTCCACTATTTCAGGCTTGAGAAAGCCAGCCAAGGGCACCAGCCGCGTGACTCTGTCCCGTGGAGGCCGTCAGACCCTGACCACCATCAGACGTGCTGTCCGGGGCTACAGGAAGGACCTGAAGATGGTGAATACAGCTAAACTCTCATATTCTCCAGCTTAGATTTATGTATTTAGTGTTAGATGGAAAGTTTCTAAAGAGACACATAATGTATCATAATAAAGTAAAACTAATATGTCTTACTGTATATCTAGATGTCCTGTTAGTTTTGCATGGTTTTGAAAGGGTGTAGGGAGTGATATGACATCTGTTGCTATAATTTGGTGATTTTCCCTACTGAATGAATTTTAAGTTGTATTACAATATGATATAGATATTATTGTTTGAAAGAAAGTCAAAACGTTGTTCTGACTGACTTAGTAGAATGTTCCTCAATCAGTGACTTCTTTGAAAAGTAGCAAAACACGTACCTCCAATTTTGCTACCCTTCAAAAAGTCACTGATTATTGAAGAATATTCTACTAACTGTTGATCTAAATGAAACATTGTTCTGACTATGTGTGCCTGTTGTTCCAGCCTGCCCTGCGCCGTGCCAGTGCTATCCTGCGCAGTCAGAAGCCTGTCGTGGTAAAGAAGAGGCTACCCAAGGCCAAGGCCTCTACAGAGTAGATGTCAGTCTGTGCTAACAGAGTCAAATAATAAACATCTGACATATGGCATCACAGTTGTGTTCTTGTTTTTCTTTGTTTATTATAAAGCAGTGTTCTCCTTTCTACCAAAAAAAATCCCATGCTAAAATGTACCCTTTCAGTGTAAATTGTGACAGAAAATTAGAACGTTACACTGTACTGTGCTGAATCTAATGACCATTGTCCTTGAGTCATAATACCTGGCATCATTATTTCAAAGCCAGTCGAGACATTACACATAACACCCTCAAACTATCATCCCTCCTGTATGTACACTTTATTCATTTAATACTCAGCAGCAGCTTGCAACAATTACCAAGAATAGAAGGACATGGCCACCATATTATTCCCACCAAAGACCATATTACACCCAAAGCAAAACCTTTATAAGTCTTCATGGCCAGAGATAGGTGCTCTGACTTTCAGTTCTGATTTCATGAACTCTACAACAACTTCCGGAAGACTGCCTTTGTGTGCAGCCAAGAACTCCACTGTCTCTTCATCTGTCCTTTGCCAGTTGTACAGAAATTCTTTAGCTTCGCTTTCCAAGGGTGTGTCCAAAGAGTCCAGGAGCTTCTGAATGGCGATGCGACGACTCTGCCAGGCTCCGATGGTGTTGATTTCCCCCGGATGTATGCCGTCAAACAGCTCATGTATCGTCCCCAACTGAAAACCAGTAGTATTGATACAGAAAAAAAATGAAGATAGGAGGGAACCTACACTTTAAGTGCAAAATCAGAACTAGAAAGGTAACCTTTGCAAAGCAAATGCATGTTTACCTTCACCTGGTCTAGCCCAACAAACTACTGCACTGTTTAATTTTTTCTTACTCTGTCAAAGTCAAATACATTCATATGTATGGCGAGCAGACTCTTCAACTCCGTTCTGCCACATAATGTAATCCAACACCATAAGGTGTCTGCTACAGCACAAGTTACCATGGTGACAGAAGTCTGGTCCAGGTCATTGACTTTATTTGTTTGGAACGGAAGAACAAACTGAGCAAAAACAATATGTTTTCCTTCTGCGAAGGTAAACAATGATACCTAACCAAACTACTGTATATATGATCATACAGGTTATTCCAAAGAAATACTAGTACCTTCGCTGTGATTTTATGTACATGAACAAGGTGATTCACTGCAACACTGATGGCACAGTGAACTTGTACCATTCTTCCGTTATGTTACTATGAACTTAAATTTACTGTACCTCAAGTTGATCCATTTCCTCTGTGCTGAGTTGTCCATCACCATTGCTGTCCATCTGGCTGAAGTCCTGGTCACTGATCAGCTGCTGACCATTGTGTTCCCACAGGATCCAGCGTTGGACGGTGGCCTTGGGTAACTGGCCACCGTGTTCTTCCAACAGAACCTTCACTATAAACCTGTTCATCATTAAAAAAACACTCTTAGGCACAAGACAGGCAAAAAGAAGAGACTATTGAATCAGAATGAACATTTAGCATATAAAACAAACATGTCTTCTAAGAGAATGGAATCTTTCTGGCCACAATATTTATAAGAACTTTGTGAACAGCAAAGTCAAGAATTGGACCTTCATAAGACATTATAGGATGCAAAGCATGTACTGTGATTTTCATACCTAGTTTGTGCCCCTGGATTGAATGACAGGGTACTCAGAGGGATGGGTGCTTTTGTGTCCTTTCCTTGGCAGTCCAGGTAATCGAATTCTGACAAGGGCGTCCACCAGTTGTTGACAGCGATGTTCCTGCCGTGTGAGCGGACCTGATGTAGCCACGCGTACGGAACGTACAGGCAGTCTCCGGGGCCGATATCAGCTGACCACCACGGGAGGGTGCGGAATTCTGGGTACTTGTACATGTCCACACTGTAGGGCAATAAGAAATTGCATACATGTACTGTCACCAATGTACTGTCACCAATGTCAAGTCTTAAAATTTGATTTTCTTAGCATCCCAGGTCTCTTGTACTTACCGAAGGCTAGCTTTGAACCAAGGATGTCTTCAGGACCTATACATCAGCATTGTGAATTGGTATGTCTGGATACAGACAACTGAAGACAAACTCAGATGTTCCTATACATTGTGGATGTGACAGTATGTGTCAAAACACAGCTAAACCTTGTCCATCATGATTTCAAAGAATTACTTCCAATCGCAACCATTATTTTTGTGCTGAAATGACAGATGAAGAATGTACTAACCGGTCCACATCCACAGTGCTGTAGGCTCCCTCACTCCTGTCCAGTCTCACCTTAGCGCCCGCCTGTCTGTCCAGCATGAACCACTCCTTACTGCCGCTGACCATACACATGACATTGTCGATGTTGTCCATGTGCAGATGGGACTTGGTCCCTCCACTAGAGAACCACATGACATAATCCTGCAGGCGACTGGTGAAACCACCACAGGACAGACAGGAGGGGAGGTACACCTCCTCCATCATAGGCTGGAAGGGATAGACGCAATTTACAATCATTGTGAATTTCAGATTTTATTCATTGTCATCCATTTCTTTCTGATTCCGTCTAAGCATTTTCCACCTGGCTCCCAGAAGTCAACAGATGTGTATATCAAGAAATTGAAGATATGGAAATGGATAACCTTCTCTGGGACCTTTGATATAACTTTCTGTCAGTGGTGTTCCATCGGACTACCATGTGAAAACAACTACAGAAACACAAGTACACTACATTGTATATGAACAGAACCTCAGGACAGCCCTATTCTGTACAGTCTGAGAAGATGCCACAGAGTTACTAGTACTAGTATGATGTGACATATTGACATGTACCTCAGGAACAGTGGTGACCATGTAGAAGTCTGATGCGTTGTAGTTCAGAAGGAACTTCTCCATCATCATTGTCTCCCCTGGTCTATCTCTGTTCTCCTTCTTCCTGAAGTCCACTTCTACCTGCAGAAATATCAAATCAAAGCTGGTTCATGTTTTGAACTGTGCATGTGCATCTCCAAGGTCAAAGATGAAGGCCCCTTACAGTTTTGTATTATAAGACCATGCTTCATACATCTTAAGGGCTTTTCACTTTTTCATATTACCCCAGTGCATCAAACTGCATGTACATAGTTCAAACTGTGAAGCAGCTTATAAAAGATAAACAGTGAGGTCTAGAGTATGTACTGTATGATCTGTATGAATGCTTAACTACATGTAGTTGTAACTGGAGAGATGTAGCTTTCATTTTTGCCAGCAATTATCTACTCAAAATTACCAACAACGTTTCTGTGATGCATGGTTACGTTTCTACATTCAAGTTTATGTTACCAGTAGTTGTCTTGTTTAGAAAAACTGGGTGTCACATACCTCAACATCTCCATACTTTTCCATAATGTATAGATCAGACCATTTTTGAAATGCTGGGTGGTGTTTGGCTGCCCCTCTGAAAATGACCGGTTTTCCAGGCTGGATGTAGTTGTGGTAGAAGTCTTCTGGAGTCGGCACATAATCTAAGGACTCAACCTGTAAAGAAGACAGACATTTTCCCTACTGTTTTGTCATCCTAGAACCTCCTCAAGGTAAGTCATACAAAATTTAAATTTCTCGAAAGTCACGAAGACATTCAAAGGAGCCTAGGGCCAACTGTATTAACTTTGCTAACATCTTTGGCAAACCGTAGCCGTATTTTTTACAGACTTGTCCTAATCATTCATCTCCTAGCGGAGTTTGATAGACTGACCTGCCCCACAGGTGGCTGGTGAGCTCCGAGAGGCTGGAGATGGCCTGCCGGTGGCTCCTCCCCCTGTCCCGTCGCCAAAAACAACAGCAGTAAAGTCACAAACATCGCCTCACGATGCAATAGCAACGTCTCCCCCATCCTCTTTTTGTAGATAATTGCAAAGTAATATTGGGGTCAGTAAAAGAAAAGCAGGACAACTTGTTCTTCCTGTCCACTTCTCAGGATGACACTTCCGGGTTTGGTTTGGTTCACCTCTGACCTCCGCGCTGATTGGTCAGCGGGAATCACTATCCACGCGGGAGAAACAAGATGGCGACCGTGGGATGTCAACAATGCGGACGTGGTGCTTTCTTTGCTTATTCTGTCCGCTTCTGCCCAAGATCATGACCGGTACACCGATTGGAAGGATCTATTGAAGAACCCTGTCCAATTACCACAGGGAGAGTTGGTATAATTCGCAATGCTGTGTGAGATTTCTGACTTTTTGTATCCGGTCGGGACTTTAATTCAATTATAAATGTGCCAATCACATATGGTGTGGAAAACTTTTCCATCCAGATCCTGATGTTGCATAGAACGTTGCCAAGAACATTGCCCAAGAGGAATTTCTGAGTGTATACAGGACAGATATACGAGAGATAATGACTATGGGATTGAAGTTGAAACAGCGCTTCGTTCTACTAGCAGTAGTTGTGATCCTGGCGTTGGTGTTCCTGTATATCCTGGCCGGGCGATCCAGCGCACACGGAAATGACAAAACGTGGTTGAAATGGAAAGAACAGAAAGACGAGCGCCTCGCGCTGTCCTCAAACTTACTACTGGACGGTCTGATGCTGGACAAGAGTCAGTCTGGACGGGACCATGTGCAGAAAGGGGGGTTGGCAGGGTTCGAGCCGATTGATTTCACTGCGGACCTGGGCGGAAGAACCCCCTGGAGTATTGCTGCCAGTTGGGTCAGCTCTAGACACATCTACCCAGAGTAAGGACATTACATTTTACATTTGTTCGTACATGTACCTGCTATCTGATATAACTTATAGTTAACAATTGTTAAACCACCCCCATTGCCGCCACACCATATGGATCAAACCCAGGTGCAAACCCAGCTAAGGTGCAAACCCCGCTAATGCTTTCAGTGTGAGGGATTGCATTTGTTTTGAATCGTGATGTAAAAAGCCAGTGGCCCTGTGTGCTCTAAAGCAAATTTTAAATCAAAAGTCACATTTTACCTTTTCCTTCTATTTCTTTCCAATGTGTACTTGGGCCTGCTTGTCAGTGACAATAAAATACATGCTATGGCCAGCTGACTCCTCTTTCAAATAATTTGAACAGTCTGATTGGCCAATTTCTCCTAAGGAATATTTTGCAGCAACCCATGGTGCGTGGTAGTCTAGAATAGTGCCATTTGACAATTTACACCTTGCAGGCCCTTGTGTCGGTAGCTGCCAGTGTGTTCTAACATGAGGGCCTGCAAGCCCTTTTTCGTAAGGCGTAATCAGGCCGTTTTAGACTTCGTAATTCGTAGGCAGCCTCCGCAAAAATCAATGTAATTCGTAATTGGACATTAGCCGCAAATCGTAAAGTCGTAATCAGCTCTGAGACTTTAACGTAATTCGTAATCGGCGGCGAAAATTTTGCGTAAATTCGTAATCACTACCCCCCCCTTGCAGGCCCTCTAACATATGAGCTGTGTTCTACACCCTGACAGAGATGCTGAGGAGTTGGGAGGTATCCTGCGGATGATGGCCACAGCAGAGATCACCCATGCTGATGTAGGCTACAAGGGCACTCAGCTGAAGGCACTCTTAGTCCTTAATGGGCATCAAAAAGCTGTCTTCAAACCAAAGAGGTAGGTAAACCAGATAATTTATCCCTTAACTCAAGATCTTATTATGTTTCGAATCTCTGTAGTCTGTAGTGTTTATATGGCTACTCTTTATTATGATAATAGTACTAGACACTCCTCATAATATCACAGCAATGTTCCTTCTGTGTATACTTATGTGTCATACAGTACATAAAAATCATACATTCAAATCCTTTTGTTTCCTCTATTTCTTTTCCAGATATCCAAGAGAACACATCATAGAAGGGAAGCCATACGATGGGTATGACAGACATAATGCAGAAATAGCAGCCTTGCATTTAGACAGGTAACAATGGTGTATTTCATTGTGTTCTTTAGTTTTAATAAATTGCATTATGTGAGTATATAATCTAAAATCTTAAGAATTAGACTTAGTCAAGTTAGTGATCCTGGCCCTCACCAAATTTCATATCATTTAGCTGTATGATGAAAGTATCACCGTCTATGTGAGCAGATATGCCTTCAAAGGAAACAAAGGTGTGGACACTGTGATCAGCTAACCACGCCTTTTTGTGTACAGATTACTGGGGTTCAGAAGAGCCCCCTTGGTGGTAGGGAGAAAAGTGGACCTGCGGACAGAGATCATGCCTGTTGGGTCTGAGAGGCTGATGTCAACCTTCCTAACACAGGGTGGGAAACTTGTCATTCTTCAACCCTATCTCATATACGTGATACATCTGTATAGCACTTCACTTAACATATCAAGACAAGTTGTAACCAAAAAGAGTGTCTTTCTGATATCGTTTGATTCTTGCTTTCCTCTTGGCAGAAATATCATGTGTGAAATAGAGTGTAAGATGTGTAGTTTATCTTTTACCTCCACCTGTACTTGCATGGCAGTAGGCTGATGGACAAGAGATTGTTCAGTGATCAGTTTTATTCCTGGCTTTACATTGCCACTGCCCCTACAGCCTTGAAAAGGCTATGGGACCTCTATCTTCACCTACTTGTATATTCAACAAGGTGTTAACAAAATTTGATTCCCTAGGGCTGCATTCAAGGAATTTTTAGAATATTTTCAATTCAATCACAGTAACCAACGGCTCCACTCCTGAGGTATCGCCAAAAACATTCAGTATGTTATGTAGCATATGAATCATGATGTTCCTAGCAGCTAAGTTGATATGTAATGATAACCTGTTCCAGGAAATGACACCTGTTTCTACGGGAAGTGTTACTACTGTAAGGAGACAGAGCCAGCCTGTGCTGACGGAGAGGTCATGGAGGGGTCAGTGACCTTGTGGTTGCCTAGCAACTGGTCGCTGAAGGGTCGTCAGAGACACCCCTGGGGGAGAACCTATAGGAATGACAAACAAGCCAGGTGAGGGTTAGACATAAGACATAAAAAATTTTATTACCATATGAGAAATGGAACTGACTGGAGGGTCTGTGCCAATGTTCTTGCCAGCATCTGCATTTTTGCCATGTGACAGAATTTTGTTGCTCATGGCAGACAAATATTTTTTGTCTGTAAAGGTATGGAAAAGGGTTATTAAACTAAAGCTTAGTTTTCCAGAAAAATTTGTCCCTCAAACTAGTGTTTCAGAGGGTCATGATTTCAAAAGTTTCTCTGGTGTGATGCCATTCACTGACATACATTTGTACATGTACTACAGATTCTATAGAATAATACCACAACAATGATGATACATATAGAAGTTTGTTGAACATTATATCAGTGAGGTTTTGACAATTTTTACAGATGGGAGTATGACGACACCTACTGTAACTCAGTCAAACAGTCCGCGCCCTACAACTCTGGGCCCAGACTGCTGGATATCCTGGATGCCGCCATCTTTGACTACCTGATTGGTAACGCTGACAGACATCACTATGAGACGTTTGAAAAGGATGGGGACAAGGGCATGTTACTCCTGTTAGACAATGCCAAAAGGTAATGTATGTGTGTACATGTACAATGTGTGTATGTATTTTTGAGTGATGTGTTGTTGCTTTGTCATTAGGAATACTTCTTTCCATTTTGGACTAGGCACTGTGAATTCATTATTTTCACAGGGACTTAATTCCTTGGTAGCAGGTCAGGGAGGTTTTACAATTCTTTAATACAGTAGTAGTAAATACAACGGTTCAGGAAAGGTGGTTTTGCAGTGGAGAGATCATAAAAATAAAGCCGCCACAAACAATTCGAAATTATTGTTGTTGTTATAGTTTTTTATCAATCATGTATTTCCTATAGCTTTGGAAACCCCAATCATGATGAAAGAACCATCCTGGCACCCATCTACCAGTGTTGCAAGTAAGTCTGACTTGTCTTTTCATCACATTGCTGTGACTTTCTAGCATCAACCTTATTGTGACTCTGTGTACAAATCAGTGCAGTTCAGCTTGTTGTACATGTGCCTCATGTGGCGAGACTGATTTTCTTGATAAAACTGTAAAACTTTTATTGTTCTCTATGTCAGGTTAAGATCCAGCACCTGGGAGAGAATGAAGCTGCTGACAGGGGACCGTCTCAGTCAGCTGCTGCGGAAGTCTCTCGCCCACGATCCCATCGCGCCCGTCCTGACAGAGGCGCACCTGTCCGCCATGGACCGCCGACTCCTGACCGCCATCGACATGGTGCAGGGGTGTATAGATGAGAACGGCAGGGACAATGTCTTAGTGGACGACTCCAGACATCACTGACTACTGTATGCTGGGTTCTAGCTATTCCTGATGAGACATGACTCTGTGTGGATCAGTCTATGTTCTTTACAATCATCTCTTTATTGTTGCACTAATACAATGTAATAATAGGTAGTGATCCGTGAAAGGCTTATTCGGGTTGGTAAATCAGTACATTCTGAGTTCTTAGCTACAAAACAAAAAGTGTTTTATCTTCCAGTAACTTTATTTGGCTTATTTGGGTTGGTAAGTCAGTACATTTTGGGTTCGTAGCTATAAACGAAAGGGGTTTTATCTTCAGTAACCCCCTTCAGTTGTATCTTCCTTGGAGCTTAAAAACCCCTAATATCTGTCCAGGCTACATTGTGATGTAAGGACAAGGTTGCAGCTAAGAACACAGAATGCAATGATTTAAAACCTGATTGAGCTATGTTCAGGTCACTGTTGTTACACAGTATCAGTGTAACAATAGAGAGATGATGACATCGTTCTAATCAGGAGGAAGACAGACTGATCCACATATACTCATCCTTCATCAGGAAGGCCTAATGGATAACAGATCTCCAAAACACTCATCATCAGCAGTACTGACAACAAAGGAAAATGTTACCTGCAACAATTGGATGAAATAATGGACACTATGTGTCTTCCTCTCAGTAAGAAATAACAGTGAAACTGTGCTAAAGTTCATGAACCATAGCTGTGCCAGAGTGGTTGTTTTTCAAACATGGCAGCTCTAAACAAATCATGGTCAATATCAAAGAGGCAATTTGGATTTTATTCTTATTATTCTTTTATTATCGTTCTAAACTACTGTATCAAGACTATTATAGCAATGTTCCTTCATATGTAATACTTTTTATTTTTTACTTAAGTTTATTTGTGTATACAGGTTTGTTGTTTTCATGTTTTAAAATGTACATGTATTTATCATCATCATGATGCTGATCATCGCACAGAGTAGCAAAACATCCTGTCTGCATGGGCAAAACCAGGATTTATTTTGAGTTTTCCTTGGATGTGTGGTCAACATTGCATCAGAATTTTGCCTGTTGCAGGTATTTTTTCTGACACAACATTTGACAACTATGGATGGGATGCCATCCTTCAATACAATTGTAAACAAATACGACCTTATACAAGACGTGCTATTGACAATACACAACAAGTTTCCTGCAGGAGCAGTATGTTCTATGCTTACCAGAATGAAGGTAAAACTTCAACCAGAAATGTTCCCCAGTACTGTGCTAATTATATGGAGCTTATTGAGGCATTCAAAGCCTGTTGTCCTTTACAGTTCATCAAAGGACACAATAGGAAATGGGCGATACGAAACATATAGTATGGATCATCTTCTCTTCAATTGTACTTGAATTTATTTATAGGACCTATTGTATTGAAATCAGTTGAACAATAGTAATATGCTCTTGTCATTCAACAGTGTAATGAACAATCCATAATAAAATGGCGCTCATTTTTCAGTGGCCTGGTTTCATTTTGGGATCAACCTTTAAACTCTAACCAGCAGTGATTTATGATCTTATCTCTGACTTAACAACTGAACTCTCAATCTCATCCCATAGTTTTGGTCCTTTTGATGGTTTGCAGGATGTTGTTGCCGTCTGCGTGAGAAACCTGGGGGAATGTGAATTGTAGCGAAATCTCGAGGATTCTCACGATCACATAAAGAGAAGGGCGAGATTTGGAGAGTGAAAAGATGCACAGAACGGAACCGATTTGTAACAGAGTAGCAAGTGCCAAGGAGCCCCATTACATATCGGATGGCATCCAGGCTAATGTGGACATGCAAGGGTCACAAATTTTGGATGGTACATAGGTCTTGTGCCAGGAAGGAGTCAGTGCTTGGGTCCTCTGGCAGCTTGTTCTGAAACTGCATAGGCGTTTATTAAAAAAACTTCAAGGGAGAATGAGTCAAGAGTCAGATGAAAACTCAAGCAAAGGATGGTTTAATGATTTAACTCCTCTACTCCCACATTTGGTTGTTATACAATCATCTGTCTGATGGTGAAACCTTAGAACTTTTTTCTTTACTTCTACAATCCAATTAGTTGAACCAACTTGAACTACTGTATCTTTTGGCCCACAGTAAAATCATCTTGTGACATGTTGGGTTGTGACACGTGACATATTAACAAAAAATACATTTACATCAAAATCTGTGGAAAATATATCTTCCTGTTACGTTCAAATCAATCATCCCTCTCCCTAATATCAGAACCCCCCTTCCCTCATGAGTCGTCCTGGTCCCCCGCCCCCTGCTCCACCCCCCCTGCAGCACCACCCCCCTCCTGTGGCTGGGGGGTCTCCTGTGCCGCCTGCTGCATCCTCAGCCACTCCTGCTGCTCTGCCTCAGCCTGCTGTTGTCTGGCCTGGGGAAACAGAAACACGCTGTCAATCATAACACACAATGGGAGGTGTAGCCTGGGTACCAAACCAGCTTGGGGCCTCCCTGGCCTTTACTAAGCACAGGTGACCCATACAGCTGGTTTCCCTTTATCCGCTGGCTTCCTGTACTACGCCGAGTCTTCTACTGCGAAGAAACCTAAACTGTCTGCATAAAACTACCACTGGTAATTGGGGCCTGGTTTGGCGGCCCATGACACTACCAGCACCAAAGAGATAGCAGGGGTCTGGTTACCAGGCTAGAGGAGATGCTAACTGTAAATCAGACTTTGAGAAGTATGGATCATACTAAAAACTGTTCAGATTAAGTACTAATTTCTTTTATACTTCAGAGGTGCTAACATTCAATACAGCTAATGAAAATCCGCATACGCCTTCAATGCCCTACATGTAATTATATGTATACCTAGTACATGGACCATTGTAGGTTAAGGTGCAGGTGAACATCTGAAATACCTGCACAGCCCCAATTTTACCTGCACTAAGGTGCATATGCACCCAGTATTCCAAGACCTGCTTACCTTAGCAAAGAGCTCCTGTTGTTGCCTGAAGAGCTCCTCCTCAGGAATGCCCAGGTTCTCCAGCCGTGTGCTCGCTCTCCGTTTCTTGGCAGCGACTGTTTTACACTCCTCCAGAACACTTCTCACATCCTCTGTGTACGAGCCAAAACCCAGGCTTTCTAGAGCTGGAAAATGCAGTAACAACAGTCTTCACTCTCTAATGTAAGAATGCTATGATTACTATTGGAATTTTATGTTCACACAATATCAAACTATTTAACAGGACTTGTAAGGGCACAACAGCCTTTTTTAGAAACAAAAACACTGAGCTATGACACCAACATGGTGGTCAACACAGTAATGACATCAAAACCCTGTGCAGCATAAATGATCTGAACCATTTCCAGCATTTATACATTTTGTACTAAGTGTATCAAACATCAGTAGGGCAAAATATCATTGAGTCTGTTTTCCCTGATGAAATAATTGAAAGATCATCAGATCACCTCCTAGAATATGTTCCGGTGATATTGTCTTCTTTCCCTCTTTTGTACAAATCTCATTAGCCTCCGACGCCACCAAGTGGATAAACTCGGTACAGCAGTTTAGAATCAGCTCCCTGGAAATCAGATGATATGTAGTAGTTGTATGGCTTGTTTGACCAAGTGTAAGCAATTTTACTCTTAAATATAAAATGAATCATTTGTATCATTGAACATGCTGAAAGATCAATGTTCTATGACAAGGTTGAGTCTTCATAACATAACATACTAACATAACTTAACATAATATCTGGTTATCATTTGATCTATTGCCTCTTTCAGGCAAATCAGTAACATTACTTAATGATCTGAAACTGAACTGTAAGCAATGATAATATTTCCCTCACCTTGAATCGTTAGCAACCCTAATGTTCGGCACCAGTTCTTTGATAAGTTTGTTGATGGCAGCACGAGGAATGGTCGGTTCGTCGTCATTCCCGGAGTCCGCCATGGCTGCTTCGAAATTATGGGGAAACAGGTTATAATATTTTGTTGACACATAAATTATTGAAAGAAGACATATACTTATCTTTCTCACATTGAGCTAGGTACAGTTATTCCTGAATGGCCTTCAAGTATTGGAAATTTGTATTAAAATTAAAAGAAATGCTTTCATCCATCCATTTTCTGCTTTATTTTTTTTATGTACAAATTTCAGTGTACAAACAGCTGCAGCTCAGTATATAACGGGGGGAGGGGGGCAGGAAACGAGAGAGTAGATTATACACGGCGTACAAAGCTTATTTGCTTCAAAGTCCATCAGTCCAAAATATCTAGACATTCCCGTTCTACTCTCTAATCATGTGCATCTAGAGGTAACTTGATTACCTGCCAAAAACATAACTTACCAGGTCTGAAACGTAGCCCGCGCTGTTGATTTTCTTTTTCCCCTAACCAACTAGATGTAACCTTTGACCTACTTGGGACGATACCACTAACAAGAAGGGGTATCTTTTCTGAAGCAGTGGCTTAGTATGCAAGCGCCACCTATTGGCAATAAATGTTTCTGCAAGCGAAACTTTCGTGTCATTGCTGATTCTTTAAAGCAAGGAGGATCCAAGTTAGCATTCAGTACTTTAGAATAAACTACCTTTAAAGGAACATCAATCATAAAATATATAGCCGTCCAAAGCACTGTCAACCAATCAGAGCTCTCAATACACTGAGATTTCTCGACAAACATTTTTTTAGGCTTTTCATGACGTCATAATAATTAACATATGAATCTCATTGGACGGTTGTCATATTGAACAGACATCCAACATGGCGGATGTGAAGCCTCTACATGGCTGAACTGTGATTCGTGCCAAACAGTCGTAAGTATTCATCAATCATTCGTCCATTCATAACGTTACATATATCCATCCACTCAATCATTCATTCATCCATTCAACCGTCACTTTCTTTCATCAAATAGTGAACTATTCCGCAGCTCAGAGATTCTGCCAGACGAGTATGTGTACCTTGCTGCATGGTTTTGTTTGATGCAGTACAATGACTCACCAATAGGAGCGCTGCGGCCATTTTCCCTTTTCTATTGTCTTTTTCTTGTATTCTATTGTAGCCTCCATGTCACCATTTCCATTAGAATTTCGTGCCCCGCTCCCTTCCATGTTCGTCCCCAATATAAATAGAAACGAGGACAACTTGTTCGAAGCTTCCCTGAGACAATCTTTGATAACAATGTAGGTTATAACCTAAAGGTCAAGACGTTTTATTGACTTCAGGTCAGTTAAGATCAGTAATTGATTGCTCAAGCGCGGCGTTGGCATAGCCTGGCACTTTGTATCTACCATAGGGAACTAATCATTGACGGGATTATTGCACTATGTACCAAGGAGGTTTACCTCCTTGTATGTACCCACAACTTCTGCCGTTTCGTAACTTGAGAAATGTGGAGGTAACTTTAGGTGCTCAAGGAAATAGTGATGATATGTAATTGCCCGTAAAAGTGACCACAATGTCCTATTTAAGTTGACACATCAACAATAAAATCCACTATAATCTTATAAATTTCAGTGGGTTGACCGGCTTGATCGTAAGCCGGTATACATGTATAACAATAATGGGTAATCTAATTTCATCATGGTTGCCTCTAGGAATGAATGTACAGCACCAAGGATGGATTTCAGCACCAAGGACAGTGCTAATTTGAACACACAATTTGAACAAAAAGTTTAAACAAAAAATGACAGTCCCACATTTGTATGAATGAATATGACACCTTTCAAACTAAAAGATTTGTGTTGGGCACAGCTAAACAAGAACTTACTGTATCTGTATAGCCGGTATAGCTGCTCTTCAGCGGCGTAACACACCAGCTTCGCAGTCACGCGGCGCGGCGGCCGCTGGCTACATTACACCGAACGACTTGTTACACCCAACTCTTTGACATCTAACTCTTAGTATTGTTTAAGGCTATCTGATGATGATGCCCCTACTGTTCATGGTGACAGCGAGACCGCGCCGCTGCAATAGTTCTAGTAAAGAATGATTTTTTGAACACCTCAATCCTTGGTTGTTAACTCTGGTACTTGAAGGCATGACTATTTCTTGTTCTTTTCTGAGCCGGTATTAGGTACATGTACTTAGTGTGATATTTCCAGCAGTATAAGGCAGATCACACAGTGTGTTTACGTGGGGCTGTGATGAACTGTTTGAGATTGAATTCTCTCTTTGCTGTGCAATTATTGCAATCAGTGGGGACTTTGAGGCATAGTTTTTGTGTGTTTTGTTCCCTAAGGCTATGCTGCTTTATACGTACCTTTAAGGATACCTACGTCCTTTCACCGGGAGAAGTGATATGTATAGGAATATAGCAAAGACCGTGGTAGCCAGATTCATCATAGCCAACTGCTACGCTATTCATTTCATAACCTTTCACGGGTGGATAACCAGGCATGGGGATGGAAAGTAGCTGTGTTACATGCTTAAACCCTGTTTTGGCAACTCCTTTAGAGGAGGATATGAGAAAGATTTAGAAAACGTGAAAGCGTTACATTTTGGGTAATCCTGGCTGAGCCGTATGTCTTGACCCTTACTGGCCCACAGCCTGGCCGGTACGCCCGGAAGGTCCGGAGTTATTGCTTTCATTCATGAGTCCAAAGTCCGGCACTACAACCTTGACACGCCGGGAGAATGAAAGACTACTCGGGATAGCTATCAACCGTAGCCCGGAGGTAGCCAGTGGGTCTACCCGAATACTAGGCAATTTCACAGCCAACAAGACCTTACTGCGTCCAACTCATTACACGGTTCACATGGTCGTCATGAGGCAATCAGCGGACGATGATCACTTCTCCTGACCCCGGCGGCGCAGGGGCAGGAGTAAAAGGCGCCGCTCACTCCGCCATGACGCCGGGTGATGATACAAGGATCGCATACTCGTCTCCTTTAGAATGATATCTTGTCACACATTTCGACATTCTAGTTGTCCAGGGATACAAAGGAATCTCAGTTGTTGGGCCTTTAGATGAATATTCCCCTTGTAGGGTCAATGTCCTGTTTCTAGTAGTTGGCTGAAGGATACAAATCGGCCAGTCAGGTCTTTTCAATGCCTACATCGCCCACTTATAGGAATAAAGTGTTCTAAATAGCCCATAACGTAGGGCCTTTATCGTTGGCAAGACACAGTGCGTTACCATTAGATAGCGCTAAATGTTTCAATAACTGCATGCTTGTCTTCGTCATGTTAATGTTCTGATAATAGCAGGAAATTGTGCATGGGATACTATATACAACGTGCACAAGTAACCACGCAAAGCTGCTTATATTATATCATGTCAAGACGCGACGTTCAAATTTTATTGCTACTGTTCAATTTATTGTCATATGACTAGGACCGATTTTGATTTAGGGGGCAAATATTTAGCATGTGAATCTCTGTTACGCATTCTTTAGAAATGTAGGGGAAGCAACTGGGTTGCCGTTGCAGTGACAGCGAGTGATGATAAACATGAATTTTTTTTCTTCAACAATAGGTAGTTATGTGTGCTGTGTGCGATAGCTTTCCAGCTATACAGTGAATCATGTCTTTAACATTTGTTCTTTATTTATATGTGAACAGACCTCATTTCACCAGAAGGTGGGAATCCAAGGAAGAACTAAAAGAAATAACTTTTCTGCGTCTAAACTGTTCAGTATGAATTTATTATGACCCTTAAATATACCCTACGTGAAGGCTGTATAGAATGAATCCTAATAACCAATATTCATATTGGGTTTATTAATTACGTTCTTTTACAAAACATAAGATGGATTGTAGTATTTCTGTCTTTTCATAGCCTTAGACTATAGCAAAGCAAGTTACGGTGGTAAGACATTTGCCTGTCCTATTGCCCTGACGAAGACAAGGCTACGTCGGATAACAATATATCCTTGTAGCATTGGCAGCTTAGGATACGCACGTGGCATTTGCAGTTCACTTAGTTTCTCAACAAC